ATTCGACAAAATTAGGGTCATTCAATAAAATTTTTTTTGTTTTACCTTCAATGGGAAGCTGAGAAAATATTAATTTTATTATGTTTTTTCTTTTTTTTTGTTCTTTTCTGTTTTTTCTGTTACCACTTTTTCTCAGCTCTCACCGAACCGATTTCGTTCAACGATACGTTAAAAGATCATAAATCGTATCTAGTCGAAGACATTACCCTCAAAAATTGAAAAAAATTCCCTCATTCCCCGTAAATGGGGGAAATCTCCAAAAAAATTACAAATTTAAAAATCGCTAATTTTCGATATTTTTTCATTTTTTTTTTACTTAAAATTGCCATAACTTTTTTAAAAATGACCGAATCAATATAATTTTTTTTTATAGATACCTTAGATATTTACCTATCATTTTATATATTTTTGTGAACATTTGACCCTTTAACAGCCCACAGGAAGGGTTACAAAATGGTAATTTTTTTCCAAAATTTAATTTTTTCAACTTAACATTTGAAAATGTTCCGGCAAGACTGACACTTAAATACATCTTAAATTAAAGCTTATATAATATACTTTTATTTGAAAAAAAAAAATTTGACCTCTGGACTTGTCTTCGTGGTGAAAACGGACATCAAAGTTAAAGAAAAATGTACGATTTCCGTGAAAAAATTCTCGATTTTATATGTTATATTATTTAATTTATATTTTATATAACTTTTGGAAAAATGTATGGATCTATATTATTATTTTTTTATAATAAATATTGATATACCCCTTTCATCTGGCACGCTTTTTTTGTAAATCGGATCATACCCCTTTAACAAGGGGGGTCAAAACTTTAAACATGCGTATTGTTACTACGATATTTTCAATTTAATTTTTGAAAGTATTCCGGAAATACTGACACTTTTAAATATATCTTAAATTAAAGCTTATGTAATATACTTTAATGTGAAAAAAAAAAATTTGACCTCTGGATTTGTCTTCATGGTAAAAATGACTACCGTATGCAAAAATATGCTATTTTTGTGTTAAAATTCTGGGTTTTGTATTTTATTTTATTTTAAAATACCTGACAAGGGGAGTACAGATTTTCATAAATATTATATAAATTAAAATTGATATAGTATAGATAGTTAAACTTATTTAAATATGTTTNAAAAAAAAAATTTGACCTCTGGACTTGTCTTCATGGTGAAAATGACTACCGTATGCAAAAATATGCTATTTTTGTGAAAAAATTCTTGATATTATATTTTACATTTTTTAACATTATGTTGCTATAACTTTTTAAAAAATGCATGAATCAACTTTATTCTTTAATGATAAATACTTTATATATACTTCTTTCATTCGACATACTTTTTTTTAAAATCGGACCATTTCCCTTTATACAGGGGGGGTGCAAACCTTTTAAAATGCGTATAGAAAGTAGAACTTTTTCAACTTATCTTTTGAAAATGGAAAGACTGACACTTTTATATATATATATTAAATTAAAGCTTATGTAATACACTTTATTTAAAAAAAAAAAATTTGACCTCTGGACTTGTCTTCGTGGTGAAAACGGACATCAAAGTTAAAGAAAAATGTACGATTTCCGTGAAAAAATTCTCGATTTTATATTTTGTATAACTTTTGGAAAAATGTATGGATCAATATTATTATTTTTTTATAATAAATATTTTTATACCCCTTTCATCTGGCACGCTTTTTTTGTAAATCGGATCATACCCCTTTAACAAGGGGGGTCAAAACTTTAAACATGCGTATTGTTACTACGATATTTTCAATTTAATTTTTGAAAGTATTCCGGAAATACTGACACTTTTAAATATATCTTAAATTAAAGCTTATGTAATATACTTTAATGTGAAAAAAAAAAATTTGACCTCTGGATTTGTCTTCATGGTAAAAATGACTACCGTATGCAAAAATATGCTATTTTTGTGTTAAAATTCTGGGTTTTGTATTTTATTTTATTTTAAAATACCTGACAAGGGGAGTACAGATTTTCATAAATATTATATAAATTAAAATTGATATAGTATAGATAGTTAAACTTATTTAAATATGTTTGTTTCTTTTAAGTCGAGAAAAATAACTTTGAAATTTGAACTAGCTTAAATAGCCAATTTTTCAACCGCCGGAAGCAACGTACGGTTGCCGAGTTGGTAAAATTTATGTTTTACACGCTTGGGGTACGAGGTTCCAACCCGCATATGGCAATGAATTTTTTGCATTTTTTCTTAATTCTTTTTAAGTTAGTATAAATTTTAACTCGTTTGATTTTTATCACATTTAGATTCAATAACTTCAATAAAGATCAAGGATCCCATCACTTTAGTCGCCCCTTGCAAGAAGAAATTTCTTATTCGTATTAAAATTATTTTACTATATTTTACTGGTAGTGATGTACGGTTGCCTGAGAAGGTATTTTTTTGTGACTATCATTTATTTTCTCTGCTCTAACTTGACCTACTTTTTTCAACGATACGTCAAATGACTACAATTCGTATCTAGTTGAAGATATTACTCTCAAAAATTGAAAAAAAAATTCTAATTTATCAATTAAACAGTTAGTTATTACATCGTCTCCATAAAGACAATTAAAATCATTAATTTCTAATGTTTTCAAAATATTTATTAACGAATGAAGTTTGATATGATAGGTTTCAACTACAAAATTAAATCATTTTACTTTGTAATTTAATAATTTTATTACTCTGTTTGTGTGTGCTACTATTAGACTATAATATTCAAATTTTTTTCTAACGTGTTGCTATATAAATCATTTCTAAAAAAAATGATTGTTTTTTCTCCTGANTTTTTTTGTAACATGTTGCTATATAAATCATTTCTAAAAAAAATGATTGTTTTTTCTCCTGAATTAACAATTGATTTTTACAAATATAATCAAATTTTATAATACACTCAATTGAGTAAATCTTTTTAACAACTTTGTTTTGATTGGTTCATTTAGTTAAAGTAAATCATTAAAATGAATTAAGTTTTCAATATTTCAATTGTAGAATCTTTTCAAAGAACAAAAGTTACTAGGAAATTATTACTATTACTTCTATTTAAGTTATCTATTACCATAAAAATGCAAAAAAATATTTGTTACTCTGATAAATATACTATAAATAGTAATTGTAAAGCTTTCTGACTGCATATTAATCTTAACGATACAATTTTTTTAATTGTCATAAAATTTTCTATTTAATGGTGTCAATGTCAAACTTGCCAATTGAGCTAAAAATTATGGTAAAATAAATTATTATTTTTTTATTATAAACATTTACGATAATCAACTTTAAACGATTAAAAAAATAGGTTAAATATGTCATTTTCCTTATTTTTAACATATTAATAATCAAAACCAGCATTAATTTAAAACAATTTTTTTTGTGATTCATTATTTTTAGATTTTTTTATATGTAAATTCTATTTTTTAATAATATTAAAACTTAGAAGTGATAGAAAAAGTCTAATTGCACATTTGAAAACATCGCGAAAAGTTGATTAGAATAGTATATTTTTGTTTCTGATGGAAGTTCCTTATAGTCCAGTGTAAAAAACTTATAACTTTGTTAACTGTTATAACTTTATCAAAAATGACCAAATCAGTATATTTTAGCTTCGATGCGAAGCTGAGAAGGTATTGGTTTTACTAAGATGTGTTTTTTTTTTTATTTTTATTTTTTTGTGTCTGTTACCACTTTTTCTCAGCTCTCACCGAACCGATTTCTTTCAATGATACGTCAAAAGATCACAAATCGTATCTAGTCGAAGACATTACCCTCAAAAATTGAAAAAAATTCCCTCATTCCCCGTAAATGGGGGAAACATCCAAAAAAATTACAAATTTAAAAATGACTACCGTATTTAATAATATACTATTTTTGTGTTAAAATTCTGGGTTTTGTTTTTTATTTTATTTTAAAATACCTGACAAGGAGAGTACACTGATTTTCATAAATATTATATAAATCAAATTGATATAGCATAGAAAGTTAAACTTATTTATATTTTTTTGCTTTTTTAAGTGGAGGAAAATAACTTTGAAATTTGAACTAGTTTAAAGTTACCACTTTTTCTCAGCTCTCACCGAACCGATTTTTTTCAACGATACGATCACGATAAAGATCACAAATCGTATTTAGTTGAAGACATTACTCTCAAAAATTTTAAAAATTTCCCTCATTCCCCGTAAATTGGTGAAATCAACAAAAAATTACAAATTAAAAAATCGCTAATTTTTGACATTTTTTCAATTTTTTTTACTTAAAACTGCCATAACTTTTTTAAAAATAACCAAATCAATATATTTTTTTTTTTTTATAAATGCTTGATGATACCTATCATTTGGTATATTATTTTATAAATCTGACCCTTTACTTGTCCACGAGGGGGATTCATAATGACAACTTTTTCACAAAAAATTAACTTTTGAAAGTGTTTCGGAAAGTGTGACACTTTTATATATATCTTAAATTAAAGATAATGTAATGTACTTTATTATGGAAAAAAAAAATTTTGGACTTTATTTTGTCTTCATGGTAAAAATGGCTACCGAATGCTATTTTTCTGTGGAAATTCTCGATTTTGTATTTTACATTTTTAACTTTATTATGCTACAAATTTTTGAAATATGTATGGATTAATACAATTTTTTCATGAGAAGTAGTATTTATATACATCTTTCATTTGATATGCTTTATTTTAATCAGGATATATATAAAGAAATAGCAGATCATGTAGCTCTTGTAATAATCCACCAATTTTTTAAAATTAAACATTACCTATAGATTTGCATCGAAGAGTTTTTTATACTTGACCTAACTATGCCACGTCACTATTGTGTTGCGACACTCCTGTGCTGGGTTTTTTTATATTGTATATTCTAATTGTAAATTTTAAGTATTTATTCATTATAGTATATAATAAAGTATAAATTACTAATATTATATGCTATAAATATTTTCTCCTTTTTTATCATATCTATATCTTAGACTTAGAAGCTGCAAATATTGAATCTAATACAATTAAAATATCACCAGCTAGGAAAAAAAGTAATCTGTATGGTAAGTGTTATATGAATTTTTGAAATAAAAATTAGAGAAACAATTAACAATTTTTTTTTTACATTGTAAGGAGTCCTTACACCTAAACAACTATAATTGTAAAATAAAAGAAGAATTTGGAAGAATTAGACATACTTAAATTTAAAGTATATATTCATGAAACCATATTTGGCCGTTTGCCAAGTAAAGGGATGAACACCACCTTACCACACGCCACTTTCTCAAGACGACCATGTATGTAAAGTAAGACTCTGATACGAATTCTAAATAAATTTTATTCTTCAGGACCTCCCTCCCAGAAAAATATGGAATATCTGCTATTGTAAAGTCCCGATGGCTCATAATTGTTTACTAATTTTTAGTAATTAAATATTAGTAATATTATATGAATTTTGTTTGATTTTTTACTCGAATTCTCATTGAAACACGATGTTTTATAGAATGTGATAACAAAAATGGTGTTTAAAGTAATGAAAACATTGAATTAATTTTGACATGTAAATTACTAAGTGTTCGTACTTCATACTAGTCGATATTCTGGCTTCCGTCATTCTGCGAGCCGGTCAAACAATGACCATGATTTAGATGTTTCTTTTGATTGCACTCTATTATCTCTATAAAATCTATAAAATATATATATATATATATATATAT